ACTGGCTTTACGGCTCTGGGTTCTAGCCCTTCTGAGAATGTCATTGTATGACACAAAGGCCCTGGAGCCATGCCAAAAATAAACATTTATAGTATGCAAATATATAATAGAGATACAATAATCTAAAAACTCCCAATTATGTAGGGTACATTATGTTGAGAATGTTTTAAGCTAACATCAAACAACCACAGGACGCATGACTTTTTCCAAGTGACAAAGACATAACCTAAAATGTTTCAAATCTAAATACCTCTTTTTTTGACGCCTTCTCAGGACGAAATTCTTTGACAAAGTTATTCAGGGACTGACGCTTAACATTTTAAGATTTTTTTGATATATAGTCGCTACCATTCCTTCTCAACTAATTTTATGTATGAAAGTCTGCCATTGTTCTTTTAAGATTCTGAGTTCACGGGAAGTACCCTGTAGGTTTTGATTCCCTTGCGAATGTTGAAAATTTGCGGCATAAACGGCTGTATCTCTTGATTGCGTTGGCTTAGAAATTTGATTTTTTCACAGCTCCAAGGGACAGTAGACTTGAGTATTTGATATGAATTTCAGCTTGATACCTCCACGCGTTCCTGAGAAAAAGGGTCTTGACAGACAGACAGACAGACAGACGGACAACAAAGTGATCCTATAAGGGTTCCGTTTTTTCCTTTTGAGGTACGGAACCCTAAAAAGGCAAGATGGCTCTAACGAGATTAATTTCTTTTTGGTGCATAATCTTAGGCTTCGATGTTGCAGTTATTAATAATAATAATAGATATTAATATCTTGTAGGTTTTGCAAATATATACCTAACGATACTCAACCTAACGAGATAAGTCTAAAAAAATAGTTAATCAAATAATTGTTTAACAGTAATACTTAATAATGGTACTGAATAATTTTGCCTACGGATATTTCCCGCTGAATGCAAATGAAAGTAGTCGCTGAGCTAAGCGTAAACTCGAAACATTTCGGCTCTGAAATGTAGGCGAACGGTGCCCGAGTGTAATTAATTCGTGAAAGTTTGCGAGCGCGGGAATTGCATTGCTTGTGTCAAATTTATATAGCATTTATTTCTATTTTAATAAATTCAAAATGCACAGTTTGTTTCTAATTGTGTCAAACTAACTCACATTTCATCTAATGATAAGTGACTTTTGAGGTCATGAAGTTATCTCAAAAGAAGAAAGGCTACGGTGTGTTGTTCACGCCGAGGAAGGAATTTTATGTAGGGTATATCATACAATTGGCTATTTTACCCTTTTAATCAGAACAGATAATTTCATGTTGTTTAACTAAGAAAATAAGTGAAATAAAAAAAATTATACAGCATGCATAAACAATATACATTCAATAACCGGCCAAATTTGCAGAGGTTTACAGTAAGTAATGTAGACCAATGGTGGAAAAAATTAATTAAAAATATCTCAAATATTCTGTCCTTTTTATATTTTAAATTCAAAATGCGTGGTAATTCATTATTTTAACTAATTTTACTGCGCACGCACACATTCGTAAGGGTCGCCAACTTTATTGCCCATAAATCACATTCAATTTGGGATAGTTTCAAATAAAAGTAGAAGCCTTGTTTCCTCGTATTTTCAAAAACTGCAATAACGGTATATCATTATTTATGTATTTGAACTTAGGCTTAAAATTTGGCTACTTTTTGAAAAATAACCCTGTATAAGCTCCCATACAAACCACGTCATACTTTTCCTTTTCTAAGGATTTCCAGATCCAATTTTGATATTATGGTTGCGTCACCACACATTCATTAGACAGCGTAATAACTATTCCACTTCACAGACCCAGAATAATGTAGTAAAAGCAGAATTTTCCCCTCATGCATGGTGAGTATCCACCATGCATGATGCATATTATAGACAAGGGAGGCCATATCTAAAGCCGGCGCCAGATACAGCTTTAAACATTTGAGCACTTGTTTGAAGCTATGTTTGGCACGGGACTTTGAATCAATGTTCAAATAAGTGCGCAAAGAAATGCACTTTGCCAAGCAGTTTCGGTTTTTAGCGCACATCAAAGCGTTCAAAGTCGACAGTGTTCAAATGTTTGCGTAGCCTGTCACACTTGCGCAAAGTTCAATCGTAAAAAATAACATTAATTAATACTCTCTTTGTAATGTTACTATGTAATGTAAGTATATTGACATCACCTCCATTCGCGTCTGCTTGCCATCTTGTTTGTCGTTTCTCAAAGTACTGTGGAGACTGTATTTGTAGAGCATGTCTGGCAGGTAGTGCCAATATGTGTTCAAACAAGTGTTCAAAGTCCTTCCAATAAGTGTTAAAATGTTGTTGCTCTATCTGGCACCGGCTTTACAATAAACTGTTTATATAAACAGTTTATTGTATACCTATATTTGGTACTGGACTCCTAAAAAGCTTTGTAATGTCGTAAAGTTACTTTACCAATGTAAATACATGATCTCATTTGACAGATGCAGTCAAAAGGCATTTTTGTTTTCATCATTGATCTTAGGCATAAATGCCTATAGTTTTAAGGCTCTAGCCTAGAGCTCTAGAAATCAACAATCATATTTTGTGAATAACAAATTATTTACTGTCCTATTTGTTACCGTGACTCGCATTTAATTTATCGATTTATGAATCATCACCACGTTTAGTAAGAAGCACCATTTTTTTATAACAAATGTTTAAGTACCTATGGTTTTTTTTTTAAATCTCTTGAATTATGAACCAAGTAGAGGCGGTGCAATAATATCGACTACACTATTTCGTCCCGTGGATGTCGTAAGATGCGACAAAGGGAAATGAATCAGGATATGAGAAGACGCATCTTCCTGATAACAATTCAAAATTATAAAAAAAAAAACTGTGATCGCCCACCCGCTTGCCAAGCATAGCTACTATGGCATATCCTACTATGCAATCCTCCTTATTGTTCAAAAGTGGACTTTATAGGCTGTAATGGATGGATTTATGAAACTATTTTTATCATCAAACTAAACGCTGTTTGCTTATTTTGCATAATACAACATAAATATTCTAAACTTGCGCAATTCTTCAACCTCACTGACGTCGCGTCGTTAGGTTTATAAAGAAACATTATTTTGTTCGCACTCTTGTTTTCCTTGAGCTTTCCGTTTCAACTTATAAATGATTGAGCATTTATTATCAACACTATATTATAGTAAATTTGATTTAAAATATTTTCATGATGTCCATTTAATTATTCAAGTAAAATTCGTTGACCGTCATTTGAAGTATTCCATAATCGTTAAGAAATGCATTATTAATATTTTTGTTAATATTCCATTAATATTAGGAAAAAAGGTTCACCTATATTGTGTTTTTATTGGATAATTATTTAGTTACTATTTTCTTGCATTATGCTATCAAGTAGCCATGACATGCTTAGTTTATGCTACTAATATATGCCAAACGGTTGCCACAACTAGATAAAATAGCTACAGTAAGTTATGCAGACATTTCTTCAACGATCAATCCAACTTTCATCGCGTAATGTCATAAATGGAGATATTATAATAAATAGAATGATATTATAATAAATAGGTGCGGTTTGACTGATTGCCTGGCCCTCGAGGTCTCCGGACACTAGATTTTTTTCTTTGGGGCTTTGTGAAGGGTATGCCGTGTCTGTCCAGTGCAGGTCCCGCAGAAACTACGAGCCCTCATTAGCGCAGCACTTGAACTCTTCACGGTGGACACGCGAGGCCGGATGTAGGCGGAACATGAATAACGCTTAGATATCACGCGTGCTACAGATGGCGTACACATTAAACTCTGTTTAACGGCTGCTAAATCATTACGTGTGGTGAACATTATGCCGCAAATCACAGCTTTATATATGTATCCCTTTCTCTGACTTATACTCGATCAAATGTGAAAAGATAATGATTAAAGACATAACATTAAGATAAGATAAAACGCTACTAAATTATTTAGCTTAGTTTGGACACAAGCATATTAAGATTTAATAGTAATAATAATAATAGCTCTTTATTCATATATTAATTTATTCTATTTGACTTCTGTTACCAATTGTCTCTATAATTGTCTATGTTAGCCTTTCTTTGGCAAAGGCCTCCTCTAATTGTCTCGTCAACTCTCTATTATCAGCTGTTGTGGTACATATATTGTCGGCTACTGCTTTAATGTCATCAACCCGAAATATTATTTCTGGAATTATTAATTTAACTGCACTTAAATTTTAATATAGTTGTACCTGAATCCGTTCCACGGTTCTTGCACCATTAAAATTTTAATTGTTGATTTACTATAAGTGATTAGCGGCGAAGGAGAATCATTGTGACGAAATAATGTGCAGGTTTGGGAAATATCTGTTTTCAAGTTATATATGTATGTGTAAGCCGTGGTAGCTCAGATGGTTAGCGCTCGCTGTAAGCTTCACAGTACTCTAGCAACCCGGGTTCGATCCCCGCCGGCACCAATGAAATTGTTAATTACAATTTTAAGTGCTGATTTACCACGTGCTTGGCGGTGAAGGATCACATCGTGAGGAAACCGGCATTTTTGAGAAATAAGAAAAAAAAATATTTCGAAGACATGTGAAGTTCGCCAACACGCATTGGGGCAGCGCGGCGGACATTTCCTTGCCCTAAAACCCTCTCAGAAATGAGAGGAGGCCTGTGCCCAGCAGTGGGACGTAAATAGGCTGCAACTTTACTTTACTTTTATGTATGTTCCAAGCAACCTTCCCTGCGGCTGTACTCAGTGGAAATTTCTTCGCTACTTTATCCACTTAGGAAATAACGTCTGTGACCGGTGAAACGTTTATTTAATGTTACTCTATATTATTTTTACTTTCGTTATAATTTTAATACGCCTATCTACTACTTTGCCAGTTCGTATCGCCACGTCTTAGTTTTTTTATCGCCTTTGTTTATACAATATTTTGAGGACTTTGACAAAATGGAGTGACCATATTTAAGTTAAATATCGATATAATTTCAATTTGCATTTATCAAAACGATTAATTTATAGAACAAAGGCTGGAGAGCAAGAAGGCACAGACTCAGAAGTGGCTACGGTACACGGAGCCGGGCGACGAGCTGGAGCCGGCCACGTCGCCCATGAAACGCTCCTCCAGGAACCTGGCCGACGAGCTCGCACACGACGACGACGATGATGCACCGCTTCCAGAAGCCGTTCTCACCACCAACCTCGGCCTCGACATTGTGGTCGTGGTAACAAAGGTAAGATTTTACCTGGATTAAAATTGAAAAATATCTTTCCATCGGTTTCGGAAATATGACGAAATCTTCCGATTACAACAAACCAAAATGTTTAATTTTAATTAGAAAAAAAAACATAAGCCCTAACACTAAGAGTTTCTTGTATAGTTGAACCCTTATAAACACTTATAACCCGGAACAATTATGTACGATATAGTACGAAATAGTCACTGATTACGCCATGCCATCAGTTGTCAACTATTTTTTTCCCGAGGAATTTCAACTACCGGGAACGAACTTTGAAATATTTATATTTGTTTTGTATCGGAAAGGTATTAATTGCTAAGTTGATATTCTAGTATATCAAGTGCATGTAAACACAGAGACACACTCGTTCTAATCTATTAATATCTGATTTATGCATGATGATGCATAAATGTAATAGCGGCTTGGATGCGGCGCTAGAGATAAAACGTCATTAACTTGAAATGCGATTGTGTAAAGCCGCCTCCACCGAAAATGTTGACAACGTTTATGTTTACAACTCAACAAAAAGTTACCAACTTTTGTTTCCGTTGGTTCGCACTGAATTGAAACAAGTCGCCAACAATTTGAGAAACAGTTGACAACTTGCTGTCTCCACCAAAGTTTTGTTGGCAACAATATGTCTTCAAACGACGATATTATGCAGGCAACCGCATATATACAACATGTAACAAAAACCCTGTAGTTCCCGTTTACGTTATCTGGATCAGTATTCAAACCTATAGAAATAACTCTTTTTTTAAAACTCGACCATATTTTTTTTTATTTTATGTGGTTCTATTGCCTCTTACTGACACTAGCCGATGCTAAAGCTAAGTAAAGCGGGATCTTTGACAATCCTCTTACTCCCCAGACAATGCAGAGGTAATAAAACCACATACAATTTGCATACAATTTTTTTTTAAATAAACAAAAAAATATTGTTCGAGTTTTAAAATAAAAGTTATTTCTATAGGTTTGAATAATGATCCTGATAACGTACTTAACCGGAACCACAGGGTTTTTGTTACATATTGTATATTAATAATAACTAGGTTTAAACTCGCAAGTTTGCTATGATAGAGTGATTCTTCTATTCTTGTATTATTATATCTCTATTCATATCATATATTATACCCAATTTATAAACATGATAAGTACATTTGGTATCAAACAAAAATGCCAATTTCCTAATTTTAAGCTGTACACGTCACTGGGTATAAGTACATCCTTTTTCGATTGTCGGTTAAGAAATAAATAATATAAATATTTTTGTATAGTTACTTACACGTGTTTCATTTATCCCTTTTACACACATAACCTGGGTTCATTTCTGTCGGTTAAACAAAGAAGCCGTTGGTAGGCAAACCACCTCGGAGTATAAGAAGCCGCAGCTCCAGATTTATTTTCATCTTTAATTTTTTTCTTTTCCCTCAAGAACTGTCCCGTCAAATTTTTTATTTTCCTTTGAATTTCTAGTTCGTTTAGTCCTATAGCGTCACTTTTTCCATGCATCCTTTTTTATTTTTATAATTTTCTTTACACAGATCCCATAATATATTTTATGAACGATATAAGTTAATTAATGTGTCGATTAACTCGTTCGTCCACATGACATACATGTTGCCATCTAATGTTTCCAACAAGTGTCTCCACAGAGGGAACAAATGTTTGCAACAAGCGTATGTTTTGATGTTACCGCCGAAAATGGAAACACGGTTCCCGACATTATTTACAATTTTTGTTGCTAACACTAGGTAATTACAGAAACATTTTTCACCAACACGTGTTTACAACACATAAGTTGGTAACTTTTCTTTGGTGGCGACGCGGCTTAACTCTGGTGGGAAACGTGTTTGACATCGTTTTGACGTTTGGTTTCGTTGTTTTGTATTAATGAATCAGTATTAATTATAGGCCAATGCCTTTTTCGAACGAAGTTACTTGTCGTACAGTACGGATTTGTCGGATGGGAGCTAGGCGAAAAAAAGTGTAAGTTTTCGGTCACGACCTTGGGGGCTATAAGGAAGCGAGATGAAATAATATTCATCTCCTTCGTACTTTTTCTTATTTTTAGTTATTTTAATTACCGATGTTTTAGGTGCTTGCAGTACCCATGGTCATGTGGGACTGAGGTATTTGTCATAATTAACCCGGGCTACCTTCAGCTTTTGAATATTAATATTTGCTGATCTACGCAGATCGAGCTCACAGTATCTTGAAATCTTGCAGTGGTATTCTCGTGGCAGATTAAAGACCCCAGTACCACACGAAATACCAAATCAAATTTCGCTCCTCGTCACCCATCTGGTTATTTTACGTCTGGCATGAACGAGATGATTATACTGCCATCTTTAAGATCTATTTGGCATTTCCCTTGCTCGTCTTTTAAGACACCTCCATGAAGGAATGGGGTGATGGATTTTTTTATGCTTCCAACACACAGGATATTTTTAATCGTAAGCACACTAGGATTTTCTCCTGTAACGTGGGGCCAGTTTACATACATAAATTACACAAGGACAAACCCGGGACTCGATTCGATATGTCGATTCCGATGCCAGCTGAGGCAGCAAGGGGAGTGCCTTGAAACTGAGGAGATACGACAAAGGGGTTCTTTTTAGCGGTAAACGCGCAAATTTGTGTCTTCAGAGGATTGAACTGGACTAGATTTGGTCGCAATTATTTATAGGCCATACAAATATTGGTTCTGTACGGGATTCGAACCCGCGGCCCTTAACGCTGCAACTCATTGCTAAGCCACTGAGCCACGGTGCTGTCAATCGTTCTTGTTTATTCCAGACTGATTATATGAGCACACTGGAGAAGGAGCACGATTACCGCGACGAGCACTTCGACTTCATGCAGCAGTGGATCCGGCGCTTCTGCCTACAATACGGCGCGGCGCTGTTCTACACCAGCGCGAAGGAGGACAAGAACTGCGACCTCTTGTACAAATACCTTACCCACCGGATATACGGGCTGCCCTTCAGGACGCCCGCGCTCATTGTGGAGAAAGATGCCGTGCTCATGTGAGGTTTTTTTGGTTTACGTAAATATATAAACTTCTTTCCCTCTATTTATACCATAAGGCATAATATGTTACCTTTTAAATCAAAGCTGTCAAATTTATACAAAATGAACATACCAATTTAAAAACAACAATGGTGCGAAAATTCCGTCCATGCTATATACTCCATATATATCTAAGTAATGTGTAATGTGATTGATAAATTAAATATATTATATTAACAATTACTAATAGACGGCCCCCAGTCCCCGGCGGCCCCGCTATTCCTGGCTACGGTGGCGACTATGGTAACGGCGGGGCAGGGGGTGCTAAGAATCTCCGGTGGAGGTTCGGTTGCCACCTACGACGACTCGACCTGGCAACATACAACGCACGCACCCGAGGACTGACGAGAAGATTGTGGAGCTGGAAGAAGAGATAGACAAGTTACGCTGGTATTTTATCCGAAGTCCGAAGAGAGGGGGAGGAAACGGTAATCCTCGAATCCGGCAACTTGCTCTATTACCGGGAGGGCGACCATCTGTCCCAAGGAGGTGTCGGATTTATCGTCCACAAGTCTCTCGTTAACAACGTTGTAAAGTTTGGGAGTGTGTCGACGAGGGTTGCGTATCTTATACTCAGAATCACCAAACGGTATTCGCTGAAGGTCATACAGGTTTACGCACCAACCTCGGCACACCCCGATCAGGAGGTGGAGGAAATGTATGAGGATATCTCTAGAGCCATGCATTCCTCCAAAACCCAATATACGGAGTTAATGGGAGACTTTATGATGAACTCTTTCTTCCAGAAGCGGCCCCACAGGAAGTGTCGAGGAAGGTCGAGCCCCGACGGTTCGACATAACATGAGATTGACTTCATTATGACGACCAGACGACAACTGTTCAGTGATGTCTCCGTGATCGCGAGGGTGAAAACTGGTAGCGATCACCGAATGGTTTAGAGGCACACTGAACCTAAACGTTAAGTTGGAGAGGTCTCGTCGAATGAAGTCGACGCTCCGTCCCCCTCGTGCTCTGTTCCAAAGTCCCGATACCTTTCAGCTCGAGTTACAAAACCGTTTTCAGTGCCTAGAAGACTACAATGATGTGGACGATATGAATGACAAGCTCGTGGAAACTGTCCATGCGGTCGGAGCTAAGTTCTGCAAGACCCGCCGCAGAAGAACACAAAAACTCTCCGATCACACTCTTAATCTCATGGCTGTTAGACGGGAGATGAAGCTACATTCTTCAACAGACTTGACAGCATACAGGCATCTGAACAGACAGATCTCCAAATGCATGCGGCGGGACTTACGCAACTTCAATACAGCTCGTATTGAAGAAGCGATAGAGCGGAACCAAGGCTCCAAAGTCTTTGCCAGAGATCTGTCTGCCAGAAAGAGCCAACTGTCAAAGCTGAAGACGGAATGTGGCAGCATCGTTTCCGGGGCACCTGAGATTTTGAGTGAGATTGAGAGGTTCTATGGGCAGCTGTACACGGCATCGTTGGAGCCATATGCGAGTGTGAGTAACGATCCAAGAGCGAGTCTTACCCGACATTATTCCGATGATATCCCGGACGTCAGTCTGAGCGAGATTACTCTCCAGCACCTTAAAAACGGCAAGGCCCAGGTGATTACAGCGGAGCTTCTGAAAGCGGGTGGAAAACCGGTACTTGAAGTCCTTCAGAAGCTCTTTAATTCCGTCCTCCATGGTGGCATTACACCGGAGGCGTGGAGCAGAAGTGCGGTGGTCTTGTTCTTCAAGAAAGGCGACAACGCTCTCTTGAAGAACTACAGACCGATTTCACTTCTGAGCCGCGTCTACGTGCTGTTTTCGAGAGTCATTACTAATCGTCTCGTGCGCAGACTTGACGACTTCCAGCCTCCCGAACAATCCGGTTTCCGAAAAGGCTTTAGCACCATGGACCACATTCATACCCTTCGGCAAATTGTACAAAAGTCACAGGAGTACAATTTGCCACTATGTCTGGCGTATGTGGACTATGAGAAAGCCTTTGATTCCGTCGAAATTTGGGCGGTGCTACAGTCCCTTCAGCGGTGCCAAGTTGACTATCGATATATCGAAGTACGGAAGTGTTTGTACAGTAGGGCTACGATGGCTATCCGAGTACAGAACCAGAGTACGAAACCTATCCAATTGCAGAGGGGTGTAAGACAGGGTGACGTCATATCCCCGAAACTCTTCACCGCTGCATTGGAAGACGTTTTTAAGCTTCTGGACTGGAAAGGATACGGTATCAACATCAATGGCGAGTACATCACTCACCTTCGATTTGCCGACGATATAGTCCTTATGGCAGAATCGCTGGAGGACCTAAGCACTATGCTCAATGACCTCAATAGTGCTACCCAACGGATAGGTCTTAAGATGAACATGGACAAAACAAAGATCATGTTTAATGTCCATGTCACACCTATGCCGGTAGTTGTTGGGAGCACTAAGCTCGAAGTTGTTGACGAGTATGTTTACCTGGGACAAATAGTCCGACTAGGTAAGTCCAACTTCGACCGAAAAGTCAATCGACGGATTCAACTCGGTTGGGCAGCGTTCGGGAAATTACGGCACATCTTCTCGTCAGGTATACCTCAAAACTTGAAAATGAAACTGTACAACCAGTGCGTGTTGCCAGTGATGACCTATGGACCTGACTTCACTGCTGGCTGGATGAGGAAGCTCAAGGTCGCTCAGCGAGCTATGGAGAGGGCTATGCTCGGAGTTTCTCTGCGTTTTAAACTTAGTAATGAGGATATCCGCACTAGAACCAGAGTGGTACGGCACACAGCTGCCCCTGCAAGGGACGCATTGGCTAGGGCCCATAGTAGCCTCCTCAACGGGCAGCCGAGGGTTCGGGCCCATGTAGCCTTATAGAAAAATGACCTATCATACTACACAATAGCGAGGCGAGGTAAATAAATAGTACGTACCTGGATCCGAATCTAAAACCGCCCCAAGGCTCGGTCAGGCCGTAGGTACTCTACCTAGATGCATGTAAAGTAGTGTTTAGTGGTGTGTATGTGTGGGTGACCTGGCCCAGCTGAGGTAACCTGGCAGCGGCCGGTTTCCATGCTGCCCCACAATGCTGCATCACTGCAGCAGGCGTCCACAATGGACAATTTCTTTCTTCATTTCACTATTTCAGTCTATCCACTTTATTGTACATTTAACTAACTTCAACTCGACTAATTCAACGTTCATCGTCGATTTGAACACGTGATACCCGCCACAAGTAACGAACAGTAGTTCAAAGTTCAACATTCAATGTCCCGGATTCATTTATCACCACAAATTACAAATAGGGAACTAATGCGATCTCTTCATGAGTCACACGGTTCAGCGTTACAAACACAACTAAGCTCCTTCGTTCGATATTAAATAATACGCCGCACTAAGAATTCAAAACCAACCTAGCTGACACGTAAACTAGCTACTGAGTCAACACACAAAAGGCTCTTAACGCGAAGGTATAATTAAACAATGATTTCCAAAACAATCAACCGGGCGACGCCCTCGAAAAGGAATTCGTGGTTCAAATTCTAGACCGTAGTATATACTCGGCGCACGCGCGAAATTCCACGTCACACGAGCAAGTTATATATTGCAAAATGCACTTCAACACGCAATCACTATATAATTGGCGCAATTACTTTCAAACGAAATTACTTTAATCAGTCAATTAAAATACAAGCATCTTGTCACGAACATAAAACCTAGACAAACTAAACCGAGGCGGTTTTCACGAAACTACAATTACGTAGCGAAGTAACGCGCACAAATTCTAAAAATCTAGACCATAACCAAAATCCTGTCGCGCAAAACTTCGGCAGCGGCCACCGAGATACGCTAATTAACTGCATCGCTGCCCGCGAGCTACTGCACTCGCGTTCTGCGCCCGCGCCCTCTGCCGAGCGACGCACACGGGAGTGGGGCGTCGGTGACCTTTACAAAGTCAGCGGGCGGATACGAGTGTTGAATGCAAATTTCAAATGTTAATTGTTTGGCCTAAACACAGAGTGACCGATATAGCCCAACGGTTTAATAAGCTGAAGTGGCAATGGGCCGGCCATATAGCTCGAAGAACCAACAACCGATGGGAAAAAAGGTTCTCGAGTGGCAGCCTCGTACCGGCAGATGAAGTGTAGGGCGTCCCCCCACTAGATGGAGTGACGACCTGGTAAGATATGCAGGAAGTCGATAGATGCAGGTGGCTCAGGACCGTGCTTTGTGGCATTCCTTGGGGGAGGCCTATGTTCAGCAGTGGACTTGTGAAAGGCTGTAATGATGTTGATGATGATTATATACTCTAGAAACTGATAAACTTTTATTAAAAAGCAACTTCTCAATTAAGTTACATTGTGTAACAAAAAACTTTACCTCAGTGTCAAATAACGACATCTGGTGAACAGAAAATTATTAGCCCTCATTGAAAGAGCTAAGTTGCACTGTTCCGTTTTTGTTTGAAACGTATAGAGAGCAACTATGATAATAAGGCTGTGAAGTATTCTGTCGTAGTCCTCAGAGGTGACAACGCACCTGTAGTCTTTTTTGATTGAAGTTGGTGTCTATGGGTTGCAGCAGCCACTTGCAAGAAGGTAGTGCAAAGTAAGTTCGCCTCCCACGCAAATAAATTTAGCAATGAATTAATTTACGCGGTAACTTGAAATTTATTTTATAATTTTGCAAACAAAAAACATTTTCATTTTTTGCATCCTCATTACAGACCCGCGGGATGGGATAGTATGAAAAAGATTAGTATATTGTATGAAAACATGCAGTCCTGTAAGCCAGACGATTACTATAGAGATATCATCGTTCAACCGGCCACGAGGAAAGTAAGTATTTCATCAATATAAACACAAATGTAAAATTGTGAACCATGGACGTAAAAAATCGGACGTAATGTTACACTGAAAACGTGTGAAGCACTTTATGGGTCCTACAATTTTGTTTGTCATGAGCTATATAGTTGCACACATATGCGATTGTCGAATCTTGATGTATTTTTGTGTGTAAAATTGTAGAACCTAGAGTGCTTTACACATTTTCAGAGTTTTAAACGTCCGTAAAGTAAACGTTTTGAAAAGATTGTCACAGCTTATTGTCACACTATAATTAACTTCATTATGACAACTATTTTAATTTCATTTTGCTCTTGATTTTGAAATATTATTGTATATTATTATTTATGATTTTTTTTGGATAGTGGTGACAAACGAGCAAACAGTCCACCTGATGGTAGGTGGTTGCTGAGGCCGATCCTCGATAAGGAATCAAAATGCAGATGCGTGAGGATTAAGATGGAATGCCTCGTTTCCTGTAATAAGTGTTTCCGGTTCTCTACACTCACCATACAAAACGCAACAGCGTTGAGCTGGTATTTTATGCTCGTATTCTGTGAAAGCGTGGTTTTTTCTCGGTCGAGTCGACCCATTCGTGTTTTCACTCTACTAGTAATAAAGCTGCAGAATGACTTTAGTGCGTAAAAACCGCGTGCATATGTGTGTGTTCGGTGTGTTTATATTGTTGTTACGAGCTCATGCGTGAGCGCCCGCATGTATACGTGTGTGTGAATGAATAAGTGTTGTTGTTACGAGTTCATGTGTGTTCGCACGCATGTGTACGTGTGTGTGAGCGTTGATGTTGTTTCGTGCTCATGAGTGTGCGTGCGTGTGCAGAGCGGCGGGCTGCGCGAGGCGGAGGTGTGCGCGGAGGACGAGCAGGCGTTCCTGCAGCGGCAGCTGGCCGCGCTGCAGGCCGGCGCGCCCGCGCCGCGCGCCGACTCGCCGCTGCGCGCCGCGCAGCGCACCGCCGCACAGGTACACCTTACGCTTCTTTTTTTTACATGGGTAAATGCCTACGCATACCCGCCTCACGGCGGCAAGGACGGGTTATGTCGGACTCGCACCGACTAAAACCCCATGGTGTTCCACCTACGCTGGCCGCCCCATGGCGGCCTCTCCTCGGGAGAGGACTACTCCTCCCCCATCTCCTTCTCAGGTAAGGCGCACCAGAACACATGGCGCGCCTTCCCCCTCGGCCTCCAACTCCACACGCGCAACGGACGCCCCCGTGTCCGACGCGCGAAGGCCATGGGGCCAGGAAAAACCAGCACCCAGAAGCATCAGCCTTCTCGACCCCAGTGACGGATCCGGTCTATGGCTCCGCCGCCAACCAAGATTCGGCTGCGGAGGGTAGGGAGAGCGGCGCCTCGCAATACCGACACTCCTCTCCCCCCGCAGCCCCACCACCACCGCATCAATTGACGGTGCGGTCCTGTCAGAGTCGCGGAGGATAGGGCGAGTGGCGCATCGCCATACCAACACTCCTCTTCCTCTGCGACTCCACCTCGGCTGCAGCGATAGATGGAGCGGACACACCTCTCGCAGCAGTCCACCGACACACATCCGAAGTGGGCTCGATAAGCCCACTCGGAGTGGCCACCTCGGGCCGGCCCTACACCCCGGGCCAGTCAAGGGGTTCCTCTTTGTTCACTGTGGGTAACCAAGTCACGGCTACTAAGCCACCCCCCCCCCCCTCCCCCGCCACGACAAGGCTGGAACCCGTTCGGGGAGACCTTACGCTTCCTAGCTTAAGGTTCATTTTTAATAACCGTGATCTTAGGGAAATCTCGCTATAATGATGTTATATACTAATTAAGGACGCGTTTACAAAATTGATAGGTATATAATCAAACTATTATATTGACACTGGTCACACACACAAGTGTACGCACGGTTAGCTGCGGGAATCGCAATCAAGTATAAACATTTTGATAATTTGAAAGATTGTTTTTTTTTTTTCATATTTCTTATTACCTACAAAAATATACTTAGATACGAAATATAAATGGCTGCTCCAGAGACAGCTAGGTACTAGAAGCCATCTACAGGGAGTGAGATGTTGGCTGTGGACTTTGAGCTGGTTTTGTTAGTTATGATAACTTCAGCTCCGAACTTGGTGAAGTGACTTGAAGGTATACTTGGGTGACTGCTACTGGAAGTCCGGAACGAGTAGTACCATGTGAGCCGAGTTTGGGCTCATTATGTTAGTTATGATGAGACCTTACCTCCGGACTTGACAGAATGACCTGATGGTGTACGTTGGTGACTACTACTGCAACTCCTGGACGAGTAAAACTAGGTATGCGTAGTTTGGGCTCGTTTTGTTAGTTACGATGAGACCTTACCTCCGGACTTGACAGAATGACCTGATGGTGTACGTTGGTGACTACTACTGCAACTCCTGGACGAGTAGAACTAGGTGTGCCGAGTTAGGGCTCATTATGTTAGTTATGACGAGACCTTACCTCCGGACTTGATGGAATGACCTGAAGGTGTACTTCGGTAACTGCTAGTGGAACTCCTGGACGAGTAGAACTAGGTATGCCAAGTTTGGGCTCGTTTTGTTAGTTACAATGAAACCTTACCTCCGGACTTGACAGAATGACCTGATGGTGTACGTTGGTGACTACTACTGCAACTCCTGGACGAGTAAAACTAGGTATACGTAGTTTGGGCTCGTTTTGTTAGTTACGATGAGACCTTACCTCCGGACTTGACAGAATGACCTGATGGTGTACGTTGGTGACTACTACTGCAACTCCTGGACGAGTAGAAGTAGGTGTGCAGAGTTAGGGCTCATTATGTTAGTTATGACGAAACCTTACCTCCGAACTTGATGGAGAGACCTGATGGTGTAATTTAGTGACTACTACTGGAACTCCTAGACGAGTAGAACTAGGTATGCCAAGTTTGGGCTCGTTTTGTTAGTTACGACGAGACCTTACCTCCGGACTTGACAGAATGACATGATGGTGTACGTTGGTGACTACTACTGCAACTCCTGGACGAGTAGAAGTAGGTGTGCAGAGTTAGGGCTCATTATGTTAGTTATGACGAAACCTTACCTCCGAACTGGAGAGACCTGATGGTGTAATTTAGTGACTACTACTGAAACTCCTAGACGAGTAAAACTAGGTATGCCAAGTTTGGGCTCGTTTTGTTAGTTATGACGAGATCTTACCTCCGGACTTGATAGAATGACCTGATGGTGTACGTTGGTGACTACTACTGCAACTCCTGGACGAGTAGAACTAGGTGTGCCGAGTTTGTTAGTTATGATGCGCAGTTGCCCTTGAATTTGGTAATACCATTTATATTTTCTCCGACGCGCCTATACTCGGCACACCCAGTTCTACTCTTCCAGGAGTTACGAAGTACACCATCAGGTCTCTCATCAAGTTCGGAGGTAAGGTATCGTCATAACTAACAAAACGAGCCCAAACTCGGCACACCTACTTCTACTCGGCCAGGAGTTGCAGTAGTAGTCACCAACGTACACCATCAGGTCATTCTGTCAAGTCCGGAGGTAAGGTCTCATCGTAACTAACAAAACGAGCCCAAACTACACATACCTAGTTTTACTCGTCCAGGTGTCCCAGTAGTAGTCACTGAAGTACACCATCAGGTCTCTCCATCAAGTCCGGAGGTAAGATCTCGTCATAACTAACAAAACGAGCCCAAACACGGCACACTTAGTTCTACCTCGTCCAGGAGTTGCAGTAGTAGTCACCAACGTACACTATCAGGTCATTTTGTCAAGTCCAGAGGTAAGATCTCGTCATAACTAACAAAACGAGCCCAAACACGGCACACCTAGTTCTACTCGTCCAGGAGTTGCAGTAGTAGTCACCAACGTACACCATCAGGTCATTCTGTCAAGTCCGAAGGTAAGGTCTCGTCATAACTAACAAAACGAGCCCAAACACGGCACACCTAGTTCTACTCGTCCAGGAGTTGCAGTAGTAGTCACCAACGTATACCATCAGGTCATTCTGTCAAGTCCGAAGGTAAGGTCTCGTCATAACTAACATAATGAGCCCAAACTCGGCACACCTAGTTCAACTCGTCGAGGAGTTCTAGTAGCATTCACCGTATACTTTCAGATCACTCCATAAAGTCCAAGACGAATAGGATTTATATATATTTATATATTATAAATCCCACTTGCTTTTAGCGAAACAAAACATTATAGTAAGAATTTGTGATTATAAAAATATTTATATTATGTATGTATTATTTTACTTTGTCAGGTCATGTACCTATGTATCAAATTCGAATATTTTGTGTTTGTACAGCGATCTTTTTCAGCTGCTGCAGGCGATACAGCGACCACCCGCGATAGCGGCCGAGCGCCGACTGTGGTTTCATCGAAATTTTTGTACAACAAATCAAAACAGACACTAAAAATAAAATAACCCTTATTGCAATTCATTAGGATTCATCCGTATCAGCAAAATATGTCAAAAAATAAGCATCAGTTTTTATTTTTTTTACGACCATTTGTGACATTTTGATAAAAAGTAATCGCCAGCATTTTTTATTGAATATGTCTGCCTACTTACAGTATTTTTAGAAATCTTAATATATGTTGATAATATAACAAAAAATGTACCGAAATATGAGCCGGTATCGTTAATTTTGTAGTAAATGGATAGGGAAGATCCTTTTTACAATGTAAAAAACTATTATTTTCAACAAAAAAGTTACCACCATTTGAAGATAAAGAACCATTCTATACGTTGTAGTTATTAGTTATATTTGATTTGGTTTAGTTTTGTCACAAAATGTACCGAAAAACAGCATAATTTGGCCCAATTTGCAAACGCACCCTTAACGATCTTATTTTGAAATCGTTTTAATTGATTTTAACGTTTAACTATGAAACATACTGTATAGCGTAGCACGGGGAAAGGTGATAATATAGCTTTTTCCTTAAAACTGTTCTAATTAATTTTACTTGCACAAAAATATACTAAATTCATCAGTCTTACAATCACTTCTACAACAGATACACGATGCGAAATGCGACCATAAAGCAAATACATTATTGTTACAGCTGGATGGCACGAAAATCAGCATGGGTGGCGGGTCGCCCGGCAACGAGGGCGTGCTGGCGAGCTTCTTCAACTCGCTGCTGTACAAGAAGACGGGATCTCCGGGCGCGCGCGCCGCAGACGCGTCGCCCGCCGCCGCCGCCGCGCGCTCCGACGCGGCCGCCGAGCTCGACCGCCTCACGCGCGCCAAGCGCCTCGCGTCCGACTGCTAGCCGCGCCCGGTGCGTACCGCCTCACTCGCACTGCACTCGCACTGCACTCCCGAGCTCGACCGCCTCACGCGCGCCAAGCGCCTCGCGTCCGACTGCTAGCCGCGCCCGGTGCGTACCGCCTCACTCGCACTGCACTCGCACTGCACTCCCGAGCTCGACCGCCTCACGCGCGCCAAGCGCCTCGCGTCCGACTGCTAGCCGCGCCCGGTGCGTACCGCCTCACTCGCACTGCACTCGCACTGCACTCCCGAGCTCGACCGCCTCACGCGCGCCAAGCGCCTCGCGTCCGACTGCTAGCCGCGCCCGGTGCGTACCGCCTCACTCGCACTGCACTCGCACTGCACTCCCGAGCTCGACCGCCTCACGCGCGCCAAGCGCCTCGCGTCCGACTGCTAGCCGCGCCCGGTGCGTACCGCCTCACTCGCACTGCACTCGCACTGCACTCCCGAGCTCGACCGCCTCACGCGCGCCAAGCGCCTCGCGTCCGACTGCTAGCCGCGCCCGGTGCGTACCGCCTCACTCGCACTGCACTCGCACTGCACTCCCGAGCTCGACCGCCTCACGCGCGCCAAGCGCCTCGCGTCCGACTGCTAGCCGCGCCCGGTGCGTACCGCCTCACTCGCACTGCACTCGCACTGCACTCCCGAGCTCGACCGCCTCACGCGCGCCAAGCGCCTCGCGTCCGACTGCTAGCCGCGCCCGGTGCGTACCGCCTCACTCGCACTGCACTCGCACTGCACTCCCGAGCTCGACCGCCTCACGCGCGCCAAGCGCCTCGCGTCCGACTGCTAGCCGCGCCCGGTGCGTACCGCCTCACTCGCACTGCACTCGCACTGCACTCCCGAGCTCGACCGCCTCACGCGCGCCAAGCGCCTCGCGTCCGACTGCTAGCCGCGCCCGGTGCGTACCGCCTCACTCGCACTGCACTCGCACTGCACTCCCGAGCTCGACCGCCTCACGCGCGCCAAGCGCCTCGCGTCCGACTGCTAGCCGCGCCCGGTGCGTACCGCCTCACTCGCACTGCACTCGCACTGCACTCCCGAGCTCGACCGCCTCACGCGCGCCAAGCGCCTCGCGTCCGACTGCTAGCCGCGCCCGGTGCGTACCGCCTCACTCGCACTGCACTCGCACTGCACTCCCGAGCTCGACCGCCTCACGCGCGCCAAGCGCCTCGCGTCCGACTGCTAGCCGCGCCCGGTGCGTACCGCCTCACTCGCACTGCACTCGCACTGCACTCCCGAGCTCGACCGCCTCACGCGCGCCAAGCGCCTCGCGTCCGACTGCTAGCCGCGCCCGGTGCGTACCGCCTCACTCGCACTGCACTCGCACTGCACTCCCGAGCTCGACCGCCTCACGCGCGCCAAGCGCCTCGCGTCCGACTGCTAGCCGCGCCCGGTGCGTACCGCCTCACTCGCACTGCACTCGCACTGCACTCCCGAGCTCGACCGCCTCACGCGCGCCAAGCGCCTCGCGTCCGACTGCTAGCCGCGCCCGGTGCGTACCGCCTCACTCGCACTGCACTCGCACTGCACTCCCGAGCTCGACCGCCTCACGCGCGCCAAGCGCCTCGCGTCCGACTGCTAGCCGCGCCCGGTGCGTACCGCCTCACTCGCACTGCACTCGCACTGCACTCCCGAGCTCGACCGCCTCATTCAAACGACAAAATGTGGTATCATTATCTTGGCTCATTTATGATTTATTCATTTGTGCATATTTGTCCGATTGCAATTTATTAATTTAAATCGTAAACTAGTGTATCTTTAAATTTTTTTGCATAAATTGTGAGTTGAAACGTTATTTTTTACATTACTTTTCTCTTCTTTCAGACACCTAACTTATGTGGCGAACGAACAGAACCTCAATTTAGCTCTGGTATCTTCCGAGAGCATTGCTTGCGCACCGCGTCAATAAAAGTTTCAACCTTAGTCTATATATTGCTGGCTTGTACTTCGTTGTCAACGCGTCGGTGTACTCACGCGTTGTTATATATTGTACACATCTATACATTCGACTGTGTAATGTACTACTTGGTACATGTGCTCGAGTCATCTGTACGCGTGCATTTGATGTTTTACGTCGTGGTGTCGCTTGCAATTGGCAACAAAAATCCATGCGTGACTAAAACGCGCTGTGATTGGTCGGTTGAACTCGACGGACGATTGCTATTGGCCGAAATCGATACTGATCTAACGTCACCGCGATTGTTTCGCGGTAAAGAGTAAACAACGGCAGAGTGATTTATTGTATTGTTTATATAAAGGATTAGATGTATTGTAAACTTAATTGTTTGGATTAGGAGCATTTTTCTCATAACGAAATAAAATTTATTTTTTAATTACTCTGTATTGTATAAGTTAGCGTAGAAGAAACAATAGAAATAAAATATGACTGCAATGGTCCCATTACTAATAACTAGTATTATGAAGTATGTGTTACAGAAAATTTACATGTTATATGATGATTTTGATTTTAACTTCGAATTTGAGTTATGATATGAAAAATGCGCCTCTTCCATCAAATAGGAACAACTTTGTAATACATTTCCATTACACTACAGTGAAGGTAAAGCAAGAAACTTTCCTATTCAGTAATTGTTTTATTTGTAAAATGTTTTATGATATTAATTAAGTATTTATTTAGTTAGCTTGAAGTGTAACTGGAACGTTTATTATATGGTTATGTGACGGCAACAATACGTTTTAGTGAGAACATGGATTTTTACCACAAAAATCCACATTTACTTTAGATCTAGTGCCGTCAGTAATGTATACATACAGCTGGTTCGTCGTGCCCGTGGAATTAATATTTGAATAAGTAAATACTTTTCTATGTGTATAAAATGGGTATTGCAGACAATCGATAAGAATTCTGCCAGCAAGCACTGTAGACAAACAATGATAAGAATAATACCACGGGGACGACCGGCCGCTGTACTTAATACCAGGGATGGTTAAGGACTGCTGAGATTAAAATGTTCCCAAAACACGTGATCTTCTGTGAAGACTGGCCCGTGCAATGTTCATGCACAATGAAGTCACTTTTTTGTACAAACCGTTGAATTTTGTAACAAGAACGGCAACAGCGACTATTTTATGTCAGCCCACTTTACTTGATCGTTAAAATTTACACGCTGGTAGGAAGCGCCAATCTTTTAAGTGGCAATACTTCAGATTACGAAAAATTGTTGAAGTCAGTATTATGTCAATTATTTGCTTCTGTTTCTTCATATTTCTTTAAAATTCTGAGTACGTAATAAAGAATAATATTTTAAAATGTTCTATTGAGGGTATTTGTAAAACTACGCTTCATCGGCAGCGTGTAAGCATAAACGGAGTAAATGTGTATGCGTACAAAAATGTGATATATGTGATTGTTGCCGTTAATATGTCGTCGCTGGTAAATGTTTGCCTAATGCATACCATTCGGCAGCTACTTATCCGAAAATAAACATATATGGTAAGAAACATATCTGCGAATATATGTATATTTGAATTTTTCTTACTACAACCGCGGCGAGTTCGCTATAGCTCAGGCACACATTTATCAAAAACGGATTTTTTATTTAAATAGTTATTTTATCGGTTCAAGTTACATGTAACTCGCTCATTTCATTTGTTTCATGTACATTAATTGAGATTGGAATTAATGGTGACCTTTATTGTTGCTTGTGGTAACCGAATTTATTTATTTAAAATATACTAATAAATTACTCGGAGATTTTTATTTTACTCCTCCTGCCACATTTAGTGCAAATGTACTGTTAACAATGAGTGTAATTTTTATAAATCGGATTTTGTTCTTTGTGGTGCAATACTGAACATTCCAAACATGGTTTGGTGCTTATTATAATATGGTAGTAAAATTATCGAATATAATCTGGAGTTTCATTTAAAATTTCACTTGCCCGTTCGCTCTTTTATTTCACAAACCTTGGTTAGTGTTATTTTAGCATTAAAGGTCACTATTATTTATTTTCTTGCTTATTATCATTTAAGATCAAACACTTTAAGTAAGATAAAAGACCATTGACCATATCTTTGGTACTTAAATTTCGTAGTTTTTCTTTTGTAGTCGTAGTTAACAAGGGTAATAATTCATGGATACTGGGCTTAGCTTTTCGAATCCAATTCCTAAAGTAAGTATTTAAAAAGATTAATTATAATTATTGGGATTTCTAACTTATTAACTTTAGAAATATAATTTTGTATAATTAGTTAATATGACACTATTTTAGGAATAGATTAATTTGATTTTTTAAATAAAACGGCGTATCATTGTGTTAGGACAATTCATAAATATTAATACCTACTGCTAAAGTATATGTCTATAAACGGCTGGGTACATGCCTCTCATTCCCGAAAAGTTTTTGGAACAATATGTAGGGCGCCAGATAGCCCCATTGTGTGCCGACAAACAACAGTTCTTCGAAATAGTTTTTATTACTCATATGTGCGTTTCCTCGCGATATTGTTCTTCTTCGCTAAGCGTGTGGCGCGACTAAAATTGGGCTCCCGTACTATGAAATTTTCAGACGCGCTTATTCCGTGAGCTACTAAGGCTCTTAACACAAATATATTACATTATAAACTTAATAATTATATACTAATATTAACAGTAAAGAAATGAAGTCGATACGTATGACTGCGGTACCTTGTTTAGTTCCTGTGTTGCCATTTTCGCATGTATTACTGTTTAGGCTCTATAAAAATTATTTTCATTTTGTAGCCAGATACCTATTTTTGGTAGTAAAATTGTGAAGGACTGTGATGATTATAAAAATTTCGACGTTTAAATAGGTATATAATAATAAACTTGATTTGGTATGGTAGGGAAGGTTTGAGAATTTTTTTTACCGGTAAAAGTGGCAAGATGACAACTAAAGGCTGGAGAATTCTCTGTTACAAACAGTCAAAATCAGAGGAAATTTTAGGTGGGTAAATTGCATAATTAAATGAATAACGATGTTATGTGTTTGTACATGTTTTGTAGTGGTATACTTTTTCTTCCAGAAGAGTATTTCTTTGGTTAAATTGTAGGCATTTTAATGAATGTAAATGAAGTTGTCAAATTAAATGTATAAGATACAAATGCATAATTTAACCTAACGTAAGATTTTCAGTATAAAATTAAACGACATGTGTTGCACGATGAAGCCATAATTTACACTTTCTATATTCTAAAATGCCAATTCGCTTTAGTCACAGTGTCTTTTTGAAATATTATATTTATTATTGTACTGGAAAATATACTACTTAAATTTCAATTTATTGCTCATTGTTTATTTCTACTTTGTATTAACTAGTCAAATTATCAGTTCTTTTTGTATTTAGATTTCAATTTTGTTACGTTTTTCTCTGTGATATGATTCTGTAGAACAAGTTAGTATTATCTAACTGCAAGAACCTAGCTACATAACGCACTCATACTGGGCAAGAGTATAAGCAAATCACTTCTCTAATTTTTAAATAAAACATTGAACTTATCCTTTATTTTCTTTTTCCAAATCTTTTACGTTCTGTTTGTAAGATATTTTCCGTTATTATTTATTGTTTTGGTAAAGTTTTCAGTTCTTGCATTATGTCACCTCTCAAGAATACTTTTTTATCTTTTGATATAATAAATAGTTACAAACCTAATTGTACAAAAATATAAGTTTTCAAAGTTGATCATAACTATCAGGTAACCTAAAAAGAAACAAAACTTCCTTCTGAGTGCTCATATCATACATGTGTTACTTTGTATTGCGTTTGTTGCGATCTTATTTGATTAAATAGGGGTGACACACCCCTACATAAATGTAAATATTACTATCATTTAATTATAAATCTTATATGTATATCTTGGGATACTAAATAAAGTATATTGTAACTTTGATGAACTTCTTGAAGGGGCATTAAAATTTGTCATAATTTTTAAATAGTAATAATTTTCATTTCTAGTACACGAGTTAAAGAAGCAACGTGATAAAATACTAAAGTTTTTCTTCGTATATTGAACTAATATATAAATAACAGACTACTAAAAACTCAACTATACATTTGTACAATGATAAACTAATGGTAATTATGATCAATTTTGTGATTAGATTTGCAAGTTTGTGGAATATAATAGCGCTCCTTTAAACCATCCAATATATGTACGTTGATAATATTTTATTACTACTATGGGTGTTATACCGTAATTCAGTTAGTTTATATTAAAACTTAAACGGCAGGTAGTGGCTTAGATTACGTACACGTAGTTCGCCTCATTATTGTTAATAATGATAACTTGTAAAGATGCAGTTTATGGATAGAAGTTTTCTCTTCCACATAAACTTCTCAGTTTATTGTATTTAATTAACAAGATATAATAAAATAAAGATTATTTATAATATAACACACTCGACTCCGTAAATAATCAATTTTACAGAGCAAACGAGCGTATTTTTTTATCTCATTCTTGTAGCCTGCAATTAGTTCTAAGCTTTATTGGCAATTATTGTACAGATTTTTGGAAATAAAAATAGCACAGAAATTGTCTTTTAAATGTGTTTTATTAACGAATAAAATTAGTATCGAAATAGTTGGAAAGAACTAATTATAGTAAGCGTGTTCATATATTCATTATATGCATTTCGGCGATGTAAGACTTCACCCTCATCCCATTTCATCCCAGAAACGGCAGTAAGATCTCATAGCTTCCGATTGATGGAGGTATTAGGTACTATGTCTGTATGCCAGGCGTGAGATATTTTGACCTACGACGAGGAGCAGTGTCAAATGCGAGACGTGTAGTACTGCGATAATAATACACGTTCATGTTCAGCAGTGAACATTGACGGGCTAATGATGAAGAAGGGTTATCGTAGAGTATTACTCTATTGCCTATCTAATATTACCAAACGGTAGAGAATACGAAGTCGATGGATACAATTAATTCGGAATCCAAAAATGCCCATTTTTTATTGGGATGGGCTTCTACTGGGGACTAGTGTAGAGCTAGTTTATAGTTTTACTTTACTCTACATGCTCCTATAAAGTAAATTCGAGTAATTTTGGTGCAAACTCCTTTCATTCTATAAGTGTGTGAATTTACCCTATAGGCTTGTGAGGTTTAAGCCGTTACTCAAATTTACTTGTAAACAAAAAGTTAAAAATAAAATAATAAATAGTTTTGAGCTTCCGTTGTGGCGCTAGTGGTATTAACTCATTGACTCATTTTTTGGTACGATACGCGCGCCACCAATTGTAATTTAATAATACTTTGCCTATAATCTCCTCACAAGTGCACGCTATAAGTTGACAAAGTTTTAGCGCAATCTAATGAACGGTATCACAGCGCATAAAATACGAACCAAAATAATTCATTTTTATATATACCTAACATGGTAATATATGCTATTTAGTCACTAAATTTTAACACATAATTCACAACGAAAGACATTCTGGAGTTAATATACTTATGATATACAATCAACTATAAATTCCTCACCCAATATTGACATAATTAAAATTCAGGATATTGTTATGGAAGACTGTCTTTATGATCAACGTGAATCGAAATGTTCAAATCGTAAAAAAATCTATCATGACACTGGCGAAAAGCAGCCGTATGATGCATGGACTCTTTACCAAAGAAAAAAAAAAATTCAGATGTCAAATAAAATTCATCTATTGTCATCAATGTTGCCAACTTAGTGGATTTTCCACTAAAACTGGTGGTGGCCTTTTAGTGTAGGAATATTGCTTTTAGTGGCTGGTGGTTTTTTCTAGTGGTTCAGTAGTCATCATTACAGCCTTTCATAAATCCACCGCTGAACATAGGCCTCCCCCAAGGAATGCCACAAAGCATGGTCCTGAGTCACCTGCATCCATCGACTTCCTGCATGTCTTACCAGGTCGTCACTCCATCTCGTGGGGGTCGCCCTACACTTTTCCTACCGGTACGAGGCTGCCACTCAAGAACCCTTCTTCGCCATCGGTTGTCGGTTCTTCGAGCTATATGGCCGGCCCACTGCCACTTCAGCTTACTAATCCGTTGGGCTATGTCGGTTACTCTGGTTCTACTGCGGATATCCTCATTCCTAAGTTTATCACGCAGAGAAACCCCGAGCATAGTCTTCTTCATAGCTCGCTGAGCGACCTTGTGCTTCCTCATACGGCCAGCAGTGAAGGACCACGTTTCAGATCCGTAAGTCATCACTGGCAAGTGGCAACACGCACTGGTTGTACAATTTCAGGTTCAGTAGTATTCGGTTTCAATTAATGAAAAGATGATCACTCAACCATTAAGTCACTTACACGTTTCGAAATATGTTTCTACTTCATATAAGAATAATAATTTACTTTTGCTGTGTAGACTGCACTGATTTGTCAGATATGAGATGACGTCATTTACATATTTATGAATATGAAAATCATAACTATGAATTATGTATTATGATGCGACGTCAGACCATTCATCCCGGTGGCACTACACAATTCGCTGGAATCCTCCTGGATTCAACTGAAAAAGATGATTTAATTTAAAATATTTTTTTAATGTTGATACGATTAACTAATTGTATGTTGATTTATTGATTATTTCCATAAAAAAATAATGTTTTGGTGCACTGTATGTAATAATTAAAGCAAATAATTACTAATATACATATTTTTCTTTGGTGAACAAAAATTTGTTTAGTAAAAAAATTAGAGACTGAGTGTAGGGTCACTTTTTGTTAGTGGTTTCCTGGTGGTTTTAGAAGTTTAATCTGGTAGAGAGCTAGTTTAGTTGTTGGCAACACTGATTGATTGTCATCTGTCATCTTCAGTCAATCGAGTGATTGTGATTGTAGTTGGACTTATGTCAATGAATTGTGATAAATATTAATGCTAAAATTACATATTTCACAAAATAATAATTTTCGAAATACTGTAATACCTTTAATATTCATTACAAGATAAAGAATTTGCAAGTGATTTATATATAAGTTGTCTATAGTGTTTCTAAACACAGTGATACCTCCTAAGTGCATAATAAATAGTTCTTTTTTTTCAACTCTAAATTTATTAACAACTTTTTCTTTTATTATGATCGATTGAATTTAAAGTTTCACCATGGGGCAAAGTCCGAGCTCAGTGCGAAGCAAGTCTAGTCGAAGATCGTTTCGCGGCTTTGTCAGGCGTACGAAACTAAATAAATCAAGTTTGAGTCACACCTTCAACTTACCACCCTCGGAGGAATATCCAGAGCTGATGAATGTAAATACGGCAACCGAGGAGCAGTTGATGACGCTGCCTGGTGTCAATAGGCAGATAGCGCGAGAAATCGTCCGTCATCGACAGATGATCGGCAGATTTAAGCGCGTTGACGACCTTGCATTAGTCTCAGGTGCCTTTTTTACTAGTCATTTATATTATTCCTTTTGCTCATGTGAGATATTATTTTAAGACTGATTTTGATGAGAATGAAGATGAGATTTGAAGATGAAGTTCACTGTCGAACATAGACCTGTAGAATATATAGTAGCTCAGTCCTAAAACACCTGCAACCTTGGACTGCCCAAATGTTTCATCAATATGTCAGTCTCAAGTTAACATTGAACTTGCCAGTACAAGGTTGCCATTCAAGAATCTTAATAGATTTTTTTTACCTTAATGATAGCTAACAGTATTGTGTAGATATTTTCCTGTAAGATCAATAGCATGTATTTTAGGCTGGCCGCACATTGTAAGAAATTTTCTGTCATAAGATTTCCAATGCATACCACATGACAATCCTTACACCCTGCAAACTATCTGAAATTTTGTTCTGGCATTCCTATTTATCAACCAATATTCTATGGATATGTGTATTTTTCCTCATCCATAATTATATATTCCATTAATAATACAATCATTTTCATGGCATGTACAAAATGTCTGGAGAGTGTGCTTTCTGACACTCTGAATATACAAATAAGATTAGAAGAAGATGATCGATTCAGCAAATTTCTTATAGTCTGTGAGGTCTAGTACAAAATGTATGTCTTTCGGTGTGCAATATCTTATTATTTTGTTTTCTTGCCACCCTTAATGTGCATACTTCTTATTTAGAATATTTTGTTAGAAAAGTTCACAGTAGTGATTATTATTAGACTTGTAACTCATAGCATATTTGGCCACACAACAAATACTGAATATTCTGTGGTCTTCTTGGCCAAATGGCCGATTATTAGTATCTTTTCTCTGAAGCTGGAATGGTCTATGAGAAGAAAAGGAGTATACTAGGTATATTAGTCTTTCTGCACCATAATATCTTCCATTTATAAATTATTAGGATATTTTAAGAGTATTTTGTTCATTGATATAGTAGCTTTTTTATAATACAGAGGTTGATATATGTACCGATGACTACTTTAACGATTACAAGAAAAATACATTATTATAAAATAAATCTCTGGGTCTGGATGTTTGTCCTCGTGCAATTTATGTTTGTAAACTGCCTCCACAACACAGGAGAAAATCCTAGTGTGGGGGTAACATTTTATAAAAACGAAAAAGAAAAAAAGATCAATATTTTAACTTTATCAATTATCCGACTACAACAAAACTTCTTACTTAAGTATACGATATGAGGCCAAATACCAAATTATAGTCAAATATTTGTTGCAAACCTAATAATTTTTATGAAGTTACAGCCTATATACAAGTCCCACAGCTGGGCACAGGCCTTCTCTCATTTCTGAGAGGGTTTTAGGGCAAGGAAAGGTCTGCCGTGCTACTCCAGTGCGTGTTGGCAAACTTCACATGTCTTCAAAATATTTTTTTTTGAAACTTACAGCGAGTGCTAACCATCTGAGCTACCACGGCTCTAATAATATAATTATTATATACCACTTTTATTGAATTATTAGAATATTTAATTATTGTAATAATATCTATTTTAGGAATTGGTGCTGAGAAGCTAGAACTATTGAGACCAGAAATATGTACAAGTACTAGAAAGCAAATATCTCGTGCTAGCTCATGTACACATTCATTAGACAGTGTAAGATTGCCAGGTGACAGTAAATTATGCTCTGTCAACTCCTCAAGTGTTTTTCAATTACAATGTGTTCCCGGCCTTAATCAAGAAATAGCCGCAAATATTGTTGATTATCGCAACAAAAAAGGACCTTTCAAGTCTCTTGATGACTTGATTAAAGTGCGAGGAATGGATATAATTAGACTTAGCACTGTAAAGCATTATTTGAGCTTAGAACCGAGAAAGTGTGAAAGTGTTCAGCATTTGACAAATGGCCATGCCTTTCCGTGGACTGATAATTTATTGAATGACTCAAGCTTAAGTGATATTAAAGAGACATTTGGAACACCACGCAGAAAGAGTTTATCAATGCCCACAAAATTACCAATAACTTTACCAAATGGCTTTGCAACTGCACCAGTGAATGATATTCTAGATTTATTAGCTGCATATTCTCACAGGCCTATAGTAGAGGAACTGTTTACTTATGAAAGAGATGGCATACCGTGTTGCCGTCTCGCATCATGGAACCTGCACCAGCTTAGTATAGAGAAGATAACAAATCCTGGCGTAAGAGAGGTGATTTGCAGGACTATTTTGGAAAACAAGTGAGTTACATATTTTTATCATTAAATATTTTATGAAAATATTGATGTTTTTTTGTTATAGTTGTTTGTTTGTAATCGTTTTTTGCAGTATTCAAGCAATTTCTAGGAATGCTTATGATATTATAAAAATTGATATGATAACCGTTCGACCTCAGCTTATAGTCTTATATTAGAGATGGTGCATGACATTCTATGTATTCTAACCAAATAAAATGGTAAAGCTATGCTCCAGCTGTATTATGACTAAGACACAAATAGGTCGGTGTGACTAGTGGCTATTACGCTACTGTATTTCTTATAAGGATTTCTTCCAGCAGGAGACCCTTTTTACTAGAACTTTTACAAGGCAATTAATTTTAGTCATCAGGGTTGATGACATATGATTTTGATTCTCAATTAAGTATAGATGTAGGTATATATGGTCCACATCATCTACTTACTATCAGGTGGATTGTGTGCTTATTTGTCATCTTTACTTTTATAAAAAAATTAAGATAGTATAACACGCACAACTTAATTCTCTGGAATGTGGCCTCTCTATTGCTTCGTTGCGTGCGTTAATTAGCGATAATTAATCTTTTTTATATCTATTTTGTTTGTTTTATTTATTATTACGATACAAACTTTACCTAGGAATGTTGAAAAAAAGAAACAAAAATAAATGAATATTGCAAACAGTATTGTCAGAGTTACGTCACAGCACGAGGTCCACAGTTAAGTCACACACACACATTATATATATATATATATATATATATATATATACACACAGGTTTATATTTCAATAACCGGAGAAATTTGCACAGATGGAATAAGTAGTATAGGCAAATGGTGAAGAAAAGTAATTAAAAAAAATCTCAAACATTCTGTCCTTTTTATCTTTTAAATTCCAAATGTGGGTTAATGCAATAGTTTAACTGATTTTACTGCACACGCACACATTCTTAAGAGTCGATCGGTATTCAAAAACCTTCTTGCCCATAAATTACATTCAGTTTGGAATAATTTCAAATAAAAGTAAAACACTTATTTACTTGTATTTTCAAAAACTGCAATAACAGTATATCATTATTTATATATTTGAACCTACGTTTAAAATTTGGTTACTCTGAAAAATAACCCTGTGTGTATATGTATATTATATATTATTAATAAGATGTTCTAATAAGAAAAATTATCCATCCATTAATTGGTATCATTCAGTTCACAAGTATAGAATGAAGTAAGGCATTTTAAGACCCCCTGAGTTTTAGGTTTCCACAAGGATTTTTTTACTTTTTTATTTTTAGGGTTCCGTACCTCAAAAGGAAAAACCGGAACCCTTATAGGATCACTTTGTTGTCCGTCTGTGTGTCTGTCTGTCTGTCAAGACCCTTTTTCTCAGGAACGCGTGGAGGTATCAAGCTGAAATTCATATCAAATACTCAAGTCTACTGTCCCTTAAGCTGTGAAAAAATCAAACTTCTAAGCCAACGCAATCAAAAGATACAGCCGTTTATGCCGCAAATTTTCGACATTCGCAAGGGAACCAAAACCTACAGGGTACTTCCCGTGAACTCAGAATATTAAAATTTGGTACGAAGCAACGTATTATAGCACAGATAAAGGAAAAATTGCGAAAAGCATAAAATTTTAGTTACATCATATAATAAAAATATTTTTAATAATTTTAAACTTATATGTCTACGGATTTGTTCGGAACCCTCGGTGCGCGAGTCCAATTCGCACTTGGCCGGTTTTTCCTTCTTCCAAGTACTTAGAGAAAATAAAAATGTATGATAAGATAATATTTTTGCATATTATCTTACATGCATAACAATGTAACAAGTGATAAATGTGACAAGAATATGTTTATCTATGTATAAATCAAAGATTTATAATTTTTGCCTGTGTGGTATTTAAACATAGATTGCGCGAATTACAACAGTTTTTTTTTTATTATAGGAGAGGAGGCAAACGAGCATGCGGCTCACCTGATGGTAAGTGACTACCGCCGCCCATGAACAACTGCAACACCAGTTGCCGGCCTTTTAAAAAGGAGTAGGCTCTTTTCTTGAAGGTCCCTAAGTCGTATCGGTCCGGAAAAATCGCTGATGGTAATCGATTCCACAAGGAGGTCGTGCGAGGAAGAAAACATCTTTCTAAATCGCACACTGGTGGACCGCCAATCATCCAGATAGTGTGAATGGTATCGGGAGTTCTGCCGCGATGTACGTTCGTGAAATTTGGCGGCTGGGATTAATCCGAACAATTCCTCAGAGCACTCCCCGTGGTAAATGCGAAAGAAAATGCAAAGGGATACAACATCTCTTCGCAGTGCCATTGAATCGAGCCGATTGGAAAGGACTCGGTCGTCGACGATTCGAGCCGCTCTGCGCTGGATGCGGTCAAGTGGAAGGAGCTGGCACTGGGGAGATGTGAGATGGGAACAGTATTCCAAGTGAGGCCGAACCTGCGCCTTGTAAAGTTGCAGGAAATACTGTCCCGCTCTGCTGAGCATGCCAAGCTTTTTAGAGGCCAATTTGGCCTTCTCTTCCAAGTGACCACGAAACTGCACGTCACTCGATATGTCGACTCCGAGGATTCCGATACTGCCTGAGGCAAGAAGGGGAGTGCCTTGAAACTGAGAAGTTACGAAAAAGGTGTTCTTTTTAGCGGTAAACGCGCAAACTTGTATGTTCTGAGGATTAAACTGGACTAGATTTAGTCGCCCGCAATCCGAAACTTTGTTCAGCAAAGACTCGACTTCAGACACGAATTTGTTCCGGTACTCGGCGACGTTTTCCCGAGAAATATTGGCACGGCCGGTGTATAAAGCATCACTAATGCTGTCATCCGCATAACAATGAATGTTACCAGTTAGCAACATATCATTGACATGCAGAAGAAACAGCGTTGGTGATAGCACACAGCCTTGTGGAATACCAGCGTTAATAGGCTTGTAGTCGGAACATGCACCGTTTACAACGACCTTGATGCTCTGATCTGCAAGGAAGCTGGTGATCCAATTGCACAATTTCTCGGGAAGCCCATAGGAAGGGAGCTTCGAAAGAAGCGCTTTGTGCCAAACCCGATCGAAGGCCTTCGCAATGTCCAAACTAACGGCCAACGCCTCCCCCTTGGACTCTACTGCCTCCGCCCATCTATGGGTCAGGTAGACCAGAAGATCACCAGCTGATCGACCACGACGAAAACCGTATTGGCGGTCACTAATCAGCTGGTGATCCTCAAGGTACCGCATGAACTGGCAGTTAATAATGGATTCCATTATTTTGGAGAACAATGAGGTGATGGCTATAGGCCTGTAGTTGGACGGGTCTGAGCGGTCGCCTTTTTTAAGGATCGGGTGGACAAAATCTGTCTTCCATGAATTCGGGACTACGCCTTGGGAGTAGGAGTACCGGAAAAGATGCTTTAGGACCGGTGCCAACTCCGGAGCACACCTCCTCAACACAATTTCGTCCGAATTAGGCCTCCGGCCACCTGCACACGGCAGACTCAAACGCAGAAGCAGAGCTTTTACTTCACGCCGGTATTCTGTGAGGTCGTGATACCAAACCGGCTCCAGCCGGTCCATACGTGCAACAGCAAAAACTGCCGCGTAGGTCTACCACCGTTAAAGGGGTCAGGTCAGGAAACTATCAAGTTATGTCACATTTTTATCAGCAGTACCACGGGTAATCCCCGTAGAGGTCCTGTCTAAATGCAATAAAGTGATCCCGAAGGGGACGACGACGACCGTGTAGTGGCGGTGTAAGAATACTCCATATCGTCCCATGGGTGTCGAAAGTGTCGACGGGGGGAAACAAACCAGGGGATGGTTTATATTGACAACAAAAAAATGCTTTTGACAACACACCTTCCAAGCGTGGCAACTATGGCAAATCTCCCCCTTATGAGGCAATCAATGGGGAGGCCTAGGTTTAGATAAACTTTTGATAGGCTGTAACAAAGAGGACAATGATTAGAGACTTATGTTCTGAATCAGTAACAGCTTCACGGGCTGAATCCACAGCATAGTGGTAGAGAGCTCGCGATTGTGTTCCATACAGAGATCTCTTGACCCCTGTTTGACGTTACGGTTGGGTGTTTTAGTTAGTAGGAGTCACAAAACCTGCCTGATTCTCCAAGAACAGCCGGGTATCAGCGAGGATTTCTACACGCAAAAAATAATAAAGAGGAATTCAAATTGAATGGCCAGTCCGATACATTCCTCATTGTTTTGTATAAAAAACTAAATTTCAAAACTTTTACTTATATAGGTACCTACTATACCGAGATTTAGTAAGCAGATTTGATGGTCCGGTAGCGCAGTGGCTAAACTTTTGAGTGTGCTAAGCCACACGCTGAGTCACGGGTTCGAATCCTGCACGGATCAAGTGATCGATATTTTTTTTTATAAGATATGAGTAACAAACGAGCACACAGTTCATCTGATGGTAAGTGGTTGCTGTAGCCCATAGATATCTATATCTATCCTCGACTATGAATCAAAATGCAGATGCGTTTGTTACCCGTGAGGACTAAGACGAATGCCTCGTTTCCAATAAAAAGCAGCATTGAGCTGCTATTTTACGGTGGTATTCTGTGAGAGCGTGGTCCTTCCCCGATCGAGCCGACCCATTCGTGCTACAACTATACTAATAAATAATAATATAGCTGCAGCATGACTCTACAACGTAACATAGATGTTTGTCCATGTGCAATTTATATGTGTAAGGGGCTTCCGCGATACACGAGAAAATCGTAGCGTGGTGTACCTCTACTAGTTTTAAAAAATCCCAATCACTGTAGAATATAGTGACCTTTTGACCGTGTTCCAATAACGAGAAAGTTTTATATTCGGCGCATCTGTTTATTTTTCATGTTAAGTTACGGTCTATATATGCCCCAGTGCAGGGCACAGGCCCATAAGGACAAGGAAATGTCCGCCGCGCTGCCCCAATGCGTGTTGGATAACTTCAGGTGTTTGAAATATATTTTTTTCTTACGACTTTTTCCTTCAGCGCCGAGCACGTGGTAAATCAGAACTTAAAACTGCAATGTACAATTTCATTGGTGCCGGCGGGTTGCTAGCGTACTGTGAAATTTACAGCGAGCGCTTAGACCCTGAGCTATCATGGCTCCTTCATGTTCTGGCGTTTTTATTTATTTAAAAACTTAAATGTAACACCTTAAGGTAAAGGGTGCATAGGGCGGACTTAATGCCATATGGCATTCTCTGCCAGTCAACCGTGGGTGCCAAAGACAATTGTAGGCAGGTGCGAACATAATATATACATACACGACATATATATATATATATATTTATATATATATATATATATATATATATATATAACATATATTTACATACAATAATACATACATACATATATGTAATTTGTATACATACTTATAAACTTTATAAATATCCGTATTAATATATAAATAAATAAATATTTGAAGAAAGAAAAATGTCAGTCTTTTTCATGTACGTTCACCAATTTCGTTTCACCCGCTAAACCGATGTTAATGATTCTTCTTATATTAAATACGTTATACTTTAGGGATCTCGTTTATAGGAGATGAAGTTATTAATGTAACTTTGATCTTGTGATAATCCATCATTTATTCATCTCAGCCAGTCAAAGACCATAGATGGTACTGGATGGGATCGCACTGTCTTAGGCTTGATTTACATTGCGGCGGAATGGAAGCGTCAATTTCGCCTCGTCGCACGGGACTGCGCCTGTTTCGTAGGCGCTTGACGCCGCACTGCTGCGAGTGCCACTTTCCAGCTTCCAGCGGATTCCACAACCTTCGCGCCGCTTCCCGCGGATTCCACAGACTGCGCCAACAGTAGCTAGGCGAATCCTCGAGAATTCCACGGCAGACGCGCGACTTTTTTTGGCTCATATCTAGTTTGAACTTTATGCAATTAACATAAAACTCATTTTACTATGTACAATTTCGTTACAAAAATTCGCTTCCGTTCCGTTCCGTAGCAGTGTAAATTGGGCCTTAGCATAACAAAAGCCTATTCACTCTTGCCACTTTTTAGACACCGAGATTGTAATTAGGCGAAAAGACACACGCCGGCAGACTATTCCACTCCTTTTCTGTACGTATTACGAGAATAATTAGTCCTTCCTTAGGTCCTTAGTCCACTTAAAAATGTATCGAGGCTTTCATTTTTTGATACACTATGCCTTAGCAATGTTTTCAGAAGCTATTATGTGGAAATCATTTTATTCTTTTTGTTTTTAATATTAAATAATAATTAAATTTTTTTATATCTCGAATTTCGCCTTTGTTGACTCGGACCTCATATAGCTTCACCTATAATTTTCGTTTGTTAACAGACTATCAATAATAGCCATTCAGGATGTGTTGGAGCCGGCCGCCTTGAAGATTATCTGTGAGGAGCTGAACTGCCCTTCACTGAGAAGGGTGCGCCAATGGCGGTGTAACAGTCACAAGTGGAACTATTGCTGCTCTGAACGAACTGACGGGTGAGTGAGTGTGCTATGTATTATGCTCCGAACGATTAAGTATACTTTGCCAGTTATTTTTTTTATAGGATGAGGGTGATAAACGAGCACACAGTTCCACCTGGTGGTAGTGATGATAATATGGTGGATGCCATAGACCTCTACATTTTTCATCGATTAAGAATCAAAATGCAGATGCGTTGTCACTCCTGAGGACAAGATGGAATGTCTCCTTTCCAGTAAAAATGGTTTCCGATTCTCTACACTCACCATACGAAAGACAGCTATATTAAGCTGCTATTTTACGCTGGTATTCTGTGAGAGCGTCCTTTCCCTTCCCTTGATATGCCGGCTTGAGGGAAACAATCACCTTTTTTATAGGATAAGGGTGACACACGAACACACAGTCCACCTGATTGTGTGTGGTGGCTGTGGCATATAGACAGCTACATGTATCCTCGATTACGAATCAAAATGCAGATATGTAGTCACCCGTGAGGACTCGCCTCCACGGGACCCTAGATTTTGACAATTAAGAAATATCTAGCGAGAAAATATATCCTGTGTGGTGGCAGATATAGTTAAGAGAGTGTTACCAACTCTGAATACTCCTCGGCAGAAAATAAGTACTACCTAACTTTGACTTTTTTTTATTCTGCACCACGCTAATCGTTACATTTGTATCCTAGAAATCTCAAAAAATCGAAAGACATGAAAAAATGTTTTTAAATTATCGAATAATTTTCTAACGCCAAACTATGACGCGTAAAGTGTTGGTAATATTTATTATATTATATTATATCCCTTTATTAATGAAACTTAATAACTTTACGCCTAGGAATAGCGTTGGAGCTTACTTAAGCTTTGTTTTAATACCAAGCAATAAGGTTTATATTTTAACGTAATTTACACTAGTCCAATGGTGTTCCTTGTCATAAAATATTACATGTTTATTAATAAAGGTGTCAATATTAATAATGTATTGTTTACTATAGACCCTTTTAGAGTCGTGTCAACTGATAACTTCCGTGAACAAAGACGAGGAATGAATTGTATTTATGGTAGCATTTTGAAACAAAGCATTCGATTGTTAGTAGAATTAGTTGCCGTGTATTTAAATACGCAGATATTTTTGTACTAATGGCTTACAAATGTTCTTTTATTTGTCAGCTCATAACTTTCCTCTGCTGGACTTTTATCTTTCCCATGGTAAAAAGGTTTTTCTGTATTCGCCATATGGCAAACGTAGTACTAAAATGGAGTGATGAGTTCTTTTACTTCACTATCATTCTATAGACAAGAGATGTAGTCAGGAGATGGGCAGCAGCATCTTGCTGAAAACAGCTCAAAATAATTAGAACTGCGGTTGAAAACGCGCCTGCCTAACGTGGCAACTATGGCAAATATGCCGCTTAAGAAGCAATGTATAGGAGAGGCCTGTGTTCAGCAGTGGACTACTAATGGGCTGTACCAATGACTATGGCTGTACAGATATAATTTATCTAAAGCAATGAATAAATGATGATATTGAATATTACACTTTATACGGATTTTATCGTGTTTATTTGGACTTATTTTTCTATTAAATTATGCGTAACTATAACAAATTATAATGCATGATTTTGCATAACTAGATATTTTCAAGCGACTTCGAAAAGGAGTTCTCAATTCGTCGGAATCCTTTTTTTTATATATGTTCCCCGATGACTCGAAAACGCCTGAACCGATTTGGAAAATTCTTTTGTTGTTTCAAATGGTATATTTCCCAGGTGGTCCCATTTAAATTTTATCGAAATCGGACGTGCGGTTTTAAAAAAAATCAACAATAGATTATTTATATTGATGTCGGTTGTGCAAAAATTTTAATTTTACCGCTTGTCCTGCATGTATTTTAGTATAATTGTTGGCTTGCGTCTGTCAATGTAACAAAACAGACGTGAACTGGCGGTGTCTTCTCGTTCAATTGCCGCCTGTTCAACTCCAATTGACCTTCAACTTTGCAATAATGGAAGACCTCAGATACAGTGGAAAGGTCAAATTCGGACAATAATTGTTTGGGTGAGGGCTATAGAACATCAGTTAGCTCAATGAAGTTTCAATACATTTATGTTGCTTATTCAAGAAAATAAAGCACCCTGAAAGGCAATTCTTATAATTTTAGCAACACTGGCGCTCGTCCGTCAATTCCGAATTTCCGTACAATTTGTTTTATATATAACGAAATATTAGGTCTTTACCAATGAAATTGTTGTTTTCTATGAAATAAGTTAACGGAAGTTTTTTCGATATATTTTTTTACTATTAATCAAAGTAATCACCAATGCAATCGATACATCTTTGTCAACGCAGTGGCAGCTTATTGATGCCCTTCTTGAAGAAATCAACTGCATGGAAGGCATAAAATTCTTCAGATGCATTTTGTACTGCCCCTCGGGTATTGAATTTTTTTCAGGCCAAAAAGTAATCCAAATTCTGGAAATAGTAGAAGTCTGTAGGCGCAAGGTCGGGTGAGTACGGCGGAAGACCGAGAGCTTCCAACCCCAGTTCTTTTAACTTGGAGACCGTCGGTTGTGTAGTATGAGGTCGAGCGTTGTCGTGCTGGAGCAGCGGGGATGAGCGATTGACCAAAGCTGGTTGGAGACGTGCGAGCTTCTCCATCATTGTGTTCAGTGCTTCATAGTACACATCTGCAGTAATGCTCATCCCGTTCGGTAAGAAGCTGTGATGAATCACACTGGCGCTAGACCATCAAACAGTGAGCGCTTGCGATTGTCAAACAAAATCTAGTTTTCGTCGCAGGTAACAATGTGGTTCAAAAACCTTCGTTTGTGTGCCTGTTGAGTAGTGCAAGCCACGTCTCGACGCATACTTCGCGCTGGCGATCATTGAGTTCGGGGGCATCCATTTGTCAAGCTTTTATACCTTGCCGCATATGGTCGGAAGTAAAAGCTGTTCCTAATTCAGCCGTAGATTGAGTATCATCAGCTTCCACAATCGTCTTTAATTCGTCATTGTTGGCCAAAGTTGTTTGATCACCTGGTTCATTTTTCAGGTTGTAATTTCCAGAAGCGGGCAAACCAATAACAGGTGGTGCGTTCGTTTATAGTATTCGCTCCGTAAACGTCGTTGATGATGCGTGCCGCTTGTTCCGCGTTGCTGCTATAATGGTACTCATATAATAACTAGTACTCATATAATACTCGTATAATTTTTAACGTATCCATGCTGGCAAAAAGATTCAAATGCGATGAAAACGTAACGATAATCAATAAACAAATGACTAATTATGAAAAATAATTCCATGTTTTTAAAATAAAATTAATTTGAAATTAGAATTCTTAGCTAAATAAAAATAATTTTTTTTTAAATAATTTTGTTTAGATTAAAGAGTGGGATTGAAAATAGTATCGTCTCCATTCACTTCTCGCTCGCACACTGTAGGTACCCACACCTGCCGGTATATACTGCAAAAAAAAAGTACGTTGCAATACGCGTATTTCGTACGTTCTATAACTTCAGTCCAACTTGTCAATGGAATCAATTATAACAAAAATTACAAAAGAAAAATCAGTCCAGTTTTGTTAATTTGTGAGTTACGACGCGTTAATATTTTTGTATAAGATATTTACATATCATTGAGACACGAGTTACCATTGTTAATATTTTCCTTTGTCTGTATGTCCGAGATAATCTCCGAAATGGCTGCACCAATTGTAATAAAACTTCACGAACAAATAGAGAGTAATACTAGGTGTGATATAGACTAAGTTTTATCCGAATAATTTAGAGATTTTATTAAAATAGAAATATTGATAAGATATATTTATGGTATTTAATGATTATCTTAAGTCGTCAATTAGATCCTACCCAGGCAAAGCCAGAGCGGGTCGCTAGTTATTAATGTTATTTTAAAATTAATGTACCTATATGCGTATACGATTACTTTCAAATATTTTCCCATTAATAGAAAATTTTCAATTAATCCAATTATATAACGTTATAACGATATACCGTTATTAGCGGGTTTTCGCTATTAATACTGTGCATATTGACGGTACGGGCTCGATGAGCCGCCATTTTTAATCCCATTCTTTATCCGTACGAACTGTAACTGTAACTGGTTATAGTTACAAAGCATATATTGGGATAGGATTAAAATTAAATTCAATATTCCTTTGTAGGATATTAAGTTGATGCTCACATTCAGGATTCTTTTCATTCTTTTTGAAAAACTAAATTATACGATTACAACCCATAATATTACAAGGAAAGGTAAATAATTTGCGGAACGAAGGCTGAGAACCTCTAAATTAATACTTAACGTAACATTTTCTTCATTTTTAATACATTTCCCTTGGGCCCTAATACATTTATATCGATTAATAAATATGTTTATGTCGTCAAAAATTAATCTCTAATAAAAATAATCTCCTCAAAATAGACTGAAATTGCGTTCTTAGATCATTGATTACTCATCAGCCATTGGAACCCATCTTGTGCACACCTTAGACATGTAAAGACGATAATGCAGAATATTTCAAATGGTGGTATCTTGTTCTGATAGTCTTTAAACGAGTCTCTTGTCTTGCTTATGGAAGTTATGTCACTTAAATGCACGTTTTCCATGGCATGAGACCCCGTAGACCGAGGAAATCTTTCTAAAATTGTTTGAGGTTTCTCTGCTCAGTTAGGAATTCAATAACTGCGCGTGTCTCCATTTTCTCTAGTTTTCGAGTTCTCTTCCCTTTTTATTGGAAACGGGTCATTCCATCTTAGTCCTTACGGGTGACAACACATCTGTTTCGTAATCGAGGATAAATGTAGTTGTCTATGGGCAACAACAACCACTTAACATCACTGGACTTTTTGCCCGTCTGTCACCTTTATTCTATAAAAAAAAAAAATAATTTGTCTTTGTGTAGTGGCGGTGTAAGAATATCCACTACCACTACCCCATATTGTCCTTGGCGTGTCGGTCAATATAGAGAAACTAAAACAGGAGATGGACAGCAGCATCTTTT